CAGGAAGAGCGGCTCGGAAACAAGGGGGAAACAAATCTCGAAATGTGAGAAAACTCTGTTCTGTCAGAGCCTACAATGTAACACTGAAACGCTTGTGGGTCGTTCATCAAAAGGAATACTGTGTCTGCACAGTTAGAGTGCAATTCAACAGGTAGGGATGAATAATTCTAGAAGCTCAGTAGTGGAATGTTACCAGGGATTACCAGAGAGGCAAGGCTCTGCCTTAGATCAAAGGGTAAACAAACAAACTGCGGTGGGGGGGGGGCTGGAGGAAGGGCTAGAAATCAGGTGGGCCAGTGCTAGGCCAAAACATTAGATGGTCAAAGCCATACGAAATAGAAATAGTACATGATAAAGTACATTGTATGCGGTGGGTAAACGCCAGGGAGCAGTTAGTATTTTATGATGCATGAGAATGGTTCATTGTTTGGTTATGTATGTGCGTGTGCGTGTGTGTGTGTGATCAAATGGTAAATGTCAGTTGGAATGGCGTGAGGCAAACTACGTAACATGTTTTGAACTGACACTTTATTATGGTATGAGGCATGGAAATGTAGGTGGAACGGGGGAAGGAAAAAGCGCAATACGAAACCTCTTTGTGGTGGAGGTTCAGAGTAGTTTGCTCTGAGCAGATAACCTCGGAAACACGATTTTAAATACACAGGTTGACAGAGGCATTGAAGGTATCCTGTAATTTTCCGTTATTATGGGTCTGCAACCAACATAGGCGATACTCAGACCGCCTTGTGAAACTAGCATACGTTGGTCTAAAACAGCAAGTGTAGGTGAGCAGAAATAATCCAATTATAGGGGCCTTTTTATTAATTATTGAGCTTAAAGACATGCATGCAAATCAATCCTCGATGGTGACTTGTTTCAGAGCGCGCGTTGATCGTCTGCTGATTACGTCACAGTTGAACGAATGCTCAGTAAAACCCAGTTTTGTGGAAACGAATCTTTGATTTTCGAGGTAGCTTCCCTGAATACATTGTTTGAGATAATTATTTGCACAGAAAAATAAACCTTCCTCTACGTCTGCTTGATTGTATTGGGTGAGGAGCATGGTTTTCATCGGGGGGGGGGAGGAGGAGATTAACGAATGAAAGAAGCGATTTTGACGAATGCGATCACTATTTTTAATACAAATACATTTTTCCGATCTAGTGAGGAGAGATTCGAGAAAAACGCTGAACTTGCGAGTATACTAGGGGACTAGCAGAACAATCTCGAATGTTTGAACTCTCTAGTTGTGTATTTTTAATTCCGCTCTGCACTGAGCGCATCATGAGCACAGCCATGGGCAGCAAATTCACGCAAACTAGATGTATTTCAGTCTACAAACTTATGAGGTGAAGATAATCAGATCCTAACGTGGATGGGAGAGGACTGTATGAGGATTGGGGAACGGAATATCTGTATCGACGAAACCTGATGATTGGTTATTGTGATGCTTGATTTATGTACACAGACTTCATTTTATGTTCTACCATAACTTACAGGTATTAATTAGACTCAAGGAACATCCTGACTTGTATGAGATTTTTTTGCTAACAACGCACGGTACTTCAAAACTCATTCACGGGATCGTGCACGATATTGTCCCACATCAGATGCAACATACCTGTAGTAATATCCTCGTTTGTTGTTGTTTGTATTAGTCGACTGTCATTAAGATGTACGATTCGTCGATTTCGACGACGTTTGCTAGTGCATTACTTATACTAAAGGTCGCGCAAATACAAACAGTAATACGAGAGAACTAAGAAAATTGCAGTGGGGATAAAATTCGGAAGAAATACTATTCAACCACAGTTATCGATATGCGCGCTGATTAACGGAAACTGAAATGTATGTCCGCAATAAGAGTCATGTTGCTCGAGTTCCATTACTGCCTGTACACTTGGGCATCAAAAAATCCACAATACATGAGTGATCGCTGTGACCCCGATGGCTTGCTCCAACTAGTTGTACTTCAAATTCCATCCAGTTGGGGGAAAAGCTTATTGGTCAGAAGTGTAGAGGCGATGGTAATGTTTAAGTGCTCCTCTCTGACTTGATATTTCAATGCAGTCTGCGCAAGCATATGGTAAAATTTAGGAAACGCTGCGTAATAATGGTTTAGTTCAATTTTACAATGAGTAAAAAGTTCTTCAACAAAATCGAGATTTGGATGCATGTTGCATCTATCGCAATCACATTTGTATGCAGTAATTAAGAATTACTGGTTATTTTACACTTTTTGCTGATCATCCTATTTTCTCGTAACCTAATTTGTTTTCAATATTCAGTTTCCTAAATGTCTCAAATCAACGAGTTTATATTTACAACACGAAGTATCACCTTTATAAGATTCTCGGTGTAAAACACAAGTTATCTGAAATCAAATTTCAAAGGGGAAAATCGTCGTGAATACGGTAAACGAAGCGTGAACTAAAAAACTAGGAAGCACTGGACAGCTGTTTCGACCTGAGTGGGCGTCATCAGCAGTTGAAATCCATCGACCCAACTAGTGATCGAACCCGAGACCCCATGGACAGATCGCAAACATGCTACCGACTCGGCCAGCGGGCAGCTGATCAGACCGTTTTACATTTCCCATTTACACGACATAGCATAACCCACACTTGCCGACTGTGTAGCATGCTTGCGTTCTAACCATGCGGTCCGGGGTTCGATCATCAGTTGGGTCGATGTATTCACACTGCTGAAGAGACCAAACCAAGTCGAAACAGCTGTCCGGTGCTTCCTAGCTTTTCAGTTCGCGCTTCATTTAACATATACACGACGAAGTTGCACTTTGAAATTGTACCAAATCCTCCGATATTCATATGAAAATCGAATTATCTGTCATTTTCATGTCAATATTTTAAATACTTTCAAATGGTTCTGATAAGTTTCTAAGCTTATTGATTGATTGGTCAAGATAAATGCTTTTCACAATGCCTTGTTCTCTTGAGTATTGCTTGCGATGATTGAAACGGTCTGAGCTGCACATTGTGTAGGTCAAATGGAGCTTGTTTATCCAAAGAGGGATTTGTTGGATGACAAGCTATTAGTTTGTCTTCAGAAGATCTCAAGGCTGAGGAGACATTTGTACCTTTACAGTTGAAAAATATCCCACAGTGTTCCAAATGAGGTTTGCTGGTGGTGGTGGCCAGTCGCGAGAGACTGGTATGGTTTTCCTGAATCAAGTCCAATCATTCATTTTTGAGAACTACCTTCGAGCAAGTACATCCAACGTTTTTCTATCTGTTCGAATTACCCAAGCGTTACACCTGATTAACATTGCAATACAAAATATACTTGTGAAAAGTTTTCCATGCAATCAAACACTCATTTAATTCATTCATTCACAAATCAGGCTCTTATAAGTTGTTTATTTTTCATATATCACTTTTCATTTGTTAACTTTGCTGCTATCGGCTTCATCCAGCGTAAAATTCCTTACAGTAACGTATGACTCACAATGTCTATCATTTGTATTTCATGGATAATGGGAATGTGCAAAGGCTCAATGAAACTGCATGCCAGTTAAGCTTGAAAGTTAACCCAGTTGAACTCTGATTGGTTCCCGGTCTGACGACCAATCAGACAGCTGGGTCAAAGGTTTTTGGCTGAGCGGTGAAAATCAACCAATCAAAATGCGAATTCGTCAGCACACGGCGTCCGGTGTCTGTGGCGGCGTACAAACAACGATTAGCAATGCACAAACAAACATATCGGTCAACCAAAACACTAGGCTACCGACTTATCGGCGAGCCATCAGACACAACCAGCCCCATACATTATTATTCACCATTGGAATTCTTTCCCCGGGCACATGAGCAACCGACGTTTGGCCGTGGTTAATCCCCTTTCGCATCCGACTGTGCTCACTGAAAAAGACGATTTGGATAAACAGATAGAAAAACCCATCGGATATTCCACACCACCGACACACAGTTGTGCGAGTCCAAATGTGACCAAATCCATCCCACTTCCACGTTCCCCATTCACATCAAACCACGAAGGCACGCATGGAATTAATAGTGCAGACATTCTGAAATCTCCAACTGTGCATGTGAAACGTGAATTAAGAGCGGACGAGAAGGACGGTCCATGTGATCCTATGCAATCGCCTTGTGTGCGCGGGGAAACGGCAGTTAAAGGTGTGACCACTGCTCTGAAAAGTTCCAGCCGGCTTCGATCTGCAGAACATGTAAGTGTGGGCATTTGTTCTGTCGGGACCCTGCATCTTCACACCTGATTGTTTCTCTTCGGTTATAGTGTGTTTTAGATACTGATAGATAAGTTTTGTGCTTCTACGGATAGCGATGGCACATTGAAATTCACTGTGGCCTGTGGATATGGAACTTAAGCAACACAATTTATTTCTTTATAAAGCGTATTTCTAATGAAATGAACAGGAGAATGCGGGGGTTATCAAAGTACAATTTAACACGGTTCGAACACACGAATGTTTAACATTCGTGATATTTTTTGCGGAATATATGTTTATCTGTCGGCAAAAAGCATTAGGAAGTGTTTTTGTGGAACCTGTCAGTTGTGTCGTAAGAAACAGTTGGATCTAGGAGTGGGGATTTGTATATATTTATTGCTCATTCTATTCTTGGAAGGTAAAATCGCAGTTTCTATGCTATGCATCATTTTTTGGAAGTATAAATTACCACCTGAAGAATAGTCGAATAGTAAAATAAATCTTATGTTGACCGTTAGCCATCTCGCTATGAAATGCGTAACAGTCTTGATGGTTGAGTTTGATTAAACTCGGAGGCTCATAAACCCAACAGAGGACTGTCCTGAATTCTTAGTTAGCAACACTCTCGTGTAATGAGTCCGGAGACCGTTCCTTAGTAATTCATCACGCCAGTACTTCTCAGTGTTCCATTCGAATCTTTCGGTACCTTAAATAAGATAAATAACACTAAAGATACTAATTGATCTATATTACTACAACTATCTTTATTTGCTCCAGCGTTGAGGATCACCAACTTGTCTCTCTGGGCGGACATGTGTTCGGATCCCACTAACGCTAACTTCTCCCCCCTATGTTTTCCTAGTCCGCGCCTGAATGACGACTGCACGCCATCCCCTACGTGAAACATTTTGCCAACTTTTGTATTCGATAAAAAGGAAGTAAAAAGACTATTAGACTATCAAATACATATAACATACCGGTACAATCAGCCTTTAACTTGAAATGATAACCACAATAATTCCTTTGCAATATTGACATTGCTATTTGAATCAATAGTGAACTTTGCACTGACTGTGGATAACAAGCTAGACATGTGCTAATCCAGTAATAAAGGTTGCATGGACAACATCCTGTATACCACTGCCTAATGAGTACCATCTTCACAGTTCCTTTCCTGTTTTGAAATGGGTTGATTTACGTATTTATTTGGTTCTAACAACTCGATTCGATGTTACGCATCGTCTCCAATCTGCTCTTCCAGTCACAGTACCATGATCAAATTGTGAACCTCAAAGGACTGGGGAGTGAAAGTTCCGAGTGAAGCTTAATGGGTGAACTTGAACATCACAGAATAAGATATAATCGTACGTGATACACCAGATGGCTTCAGGAACAATGGAGAATGCAAACTCGTTTGTCTGAAGTCATTTCCCATTTAATCACGTGAACATTAAGCTGTTAAATAGATAAATTGGCAAACAGCAGAAAATAAATAGAACCGGAAGGCGGTAAGTTATTTGGGGTTTAAAGTACATAGGCAATTAGTGAATCTAAAGAAATTGAGGCAAAATGAGTCACATCGAGAGCGCAAATGTAGAAGTGAATGGTCTAGACTGACCAAGGGCTTCATTATTCATAGCCAGCTGTGTACATGATTGTCATACGTGCACCCAACATCAATTCGTCGTCAACGAACATGAGGTAAAGTTTGAAGCACGTAGTTATTCATCCGGGGACGTCCAAATTATAATGTACTTCACAAGTCAGGAGAAAATGCAATCGTAGCAGATGATGAAACTAGCGTACAAAAAGATCTCACGAAAACATTAGCATACGAGAGCAATTCCTGAGCTTCTACAGGAGAACTATTTTAAGGTAATAAAATAATGCCAGTTTGCTAGATTTATTCCTGTACATTCTTGCGTCAATACAGTTATCCTGCAGGTTGATTAGATTCCACCGGCCTGCTATTGGATAGAATGTGATGTACTGGGTCTCCAAAGCAGTCGTGAAAAATGAGAGTAGAAAACAACTAGGGGTAACCTAAAGTATGCAGGTTTAAAAAAGCTTTCTCTAGCTGATTCACATTTGAGCGCATTTCGAGGGATCAAATGCAAAATAGCTATGGATATGAAGAGGAAGAGAAACCATTAAAAATCATGGTGATTCTGTTGGTCTATTTTCCCTTATGATGTCAACGCACCGGCTAACAGGAAGACATCCTGCAACTCCCATTCAGTTGTCCACTTTTGATTTGTACCGAAAACAAGATAAAGTTCTTCAAAAAAATGTTTGAACCTTAAGAGACGAAGGTGAAGAGATATTTACTAATACGATAGTTATCGAACAAACAATATTACCAAATTTTAAAATTGGCTAAGTTATTAATAGACAATAGTTAAACGGAGTGTAGAAAATGCATTGTTGTGAATTGCCAGCTGTTTTTCTCTATATGACCTCCCGTTTTAGTCGATTAAATCCTCGAAGACTAGTTTTCTCTTATCATACCATAACGCTGACTTTCAAAGATAGCCTCTTGCATAGATGCTTTAACCAAACTGTCTCAATAAGTGTACAATCAGTGAAANGGGGGGGGGGGGGCTCAAGATACATTATCAACGAGAAGCAACCAGTGTGAAATATATGCGTAGTGTTTTTTTAATCTGCAATCCGATTGAAAGCCGCCGCTCAATAAAAGAAGCTTTAGCTGTGTTCTACCAATATCCATCTGTCCCTCTTGGATTTCTTCAAGTTACATTGTTTCTTGGTTGCACAAACCCTCCATCACGTTCCAATATGTCGCTTTCCACGGTCTCCCGCTGCCTCGTGTGACTCTACTGCATGGGTTCACTGAACGAGATTTGCCAAGCAAACACTCTGAAAGACGCCTAGCGATTGAATAATTTTACCAAATATATTAGGTGTATGAAACAATGAATCACATTGTTCTAAACCAACATTTACTAACACCATAACAGCAAACATTGCTGGTACAATATTTAAATTCAATTTCTGTTCGGAGCCAGAATATCTGTATTTTGGGCCTCAGTTTTTCACAGAAGGAACGAGTAGTGCTCTATCATTAGGCAATCCAAGCCTTTGGCCAATATTTATTTTACGTCCACATGCTACTAGTTGGTATCGGTTCCATTTGTGCCCTTAATGATTCACGCTTCGCCTTCTCTCTGTGATTCCCAGATTCTCGTTGTCTTCTGTTCGCATGCTTACGGCCTATTAGATGCGATACACTACACTCACACATGTCTATCGACCTTACAGTAGCCTTCATCGCCTCGGTCCACCAGAGCTTTATCCTTCTGCTTCTTGTTAACACAAGACAAATTAAAGAAAAATTCCAATTCATCTCAGTTGCAGTTCAACTGCACTGGACAAGTGACATGAGAATGGACAACTGTTATTTCATGCTAAAATCAGGGCGGAATCATGGCGGTGTTAGGACCCCGTCTCAAGCTGGACCGTTCGCTGTCAAACTGTAGAGACAGAAACAAGAGTGTGTCACTAGTGTGTAAAATATGCTACATAAGGTCCACTGTCTACTTATCGTGCATTGCCACTTCATCCGTTACCCCACCCCAAAACTAATCGGGACACGTGTAAAGGTGGCATACACACACACATACAATGTCGCCCCTCCCGGACATCAGGGGGCTAAGGCTGACAATCACAACCTTGGCCGATACCGGAGGTTTTTGTGTAGTCTCTGTCATTCGGACCGATTGGCTCTGCCGCCAGTCAATGCAGTATGTATTCACTTCTCTCTGTTTGGCACTGACTCATTAGGTCTGGAAAACGGAGAATGTATCACAAGTGACGGTAATTTCAGGCTAGAATAGCGTAAGTAAAAGTCCTGAGAGAAAGATCTTGTAAAATACCAGAAGTGTATGTATTGATATATGCTCAGCTTGCTCAGAAGACTGCATCCAACACTGTGGCGTCTAGATATGCGATTTCGAATCGATTTGACCTTTGTCAATGAGAACTGGACAATATCAAAGGCTGTTTATGACATTCTCGATTCTGACTTTTGTTCATTTGCATGGACACCGTTTAGCTCATGTAACCATGCCCTGAAAGTATTGGTTATGGGTCATGTTACTCAAAAATAGGAACTCTGATTCCAAATCCGAGTGTCCATGGCTCAGGTCTCGACAGGGGCATCAAATAGGTGCGGCGAATATTTATAAAAATGGACAAAACAGCTACCCAGGGCTCTTTGATGGTCACCAAACATATCTTCATCCAACTGAAGTGATTCCATCTCAGTTAACTTCATGAATTACATCCAAACCTTGATGTTTACCACTACTCGTGTAAATCAAAGATAGTACTGAAAAACACATTTCTTAGTGATCTACCTTACTATCTTTCGCAGCGTAATGTAGAAAGTAAAACAGAGAGTCACGGTTGGATGTCGACGGTAATACTTTTATTTGGTCGGTGGTAAAACGTGGATATAGACCCATCGTTTACTAGCTCTTCAGCATTACATAAGCAGTCAAATCACTGTTCATTAACAAAAGCATGATATTCTGCATACCACTCATGAACAAATATTTCTGTAAAATATCTGGCAGTAGGTAATCTCTAACCCAAGAAGAATACCTTCAGTCGTCTGTTGATAGAAGAAAAGTCGGTACAAAATAAATCTCAAAAGAAATTTGAAATTGGTTCAGAGAAAAAAGTTGAAAAGATGGTCGTGTGCTTACAGAGAACTTTTGTCTGGGAATTCAGATGTTACTTAGTATAGGACTTATGTGTACAGGTATGGCTGTTTTTGCGACTCAATTGGTTTCAGCATTCCACAACCTCCGAGTTTAGACTGTCAGTTCCCATATTTCAGCAGCTGATAATCGTTTTCATGGTTTCCCTTCCACTGGAAATCGTTTGTTTTGGTTTGTGATCAAAATAATGTGCAAAAAGATGCAAAATTGTAATCAAGAATTATTCTCAAAAATTTAGTATCGTTTTGTTACCATATGTGAAATTTGTCACATAGTGATGCGATGACGAATATCTTCCGATGCATA